GCACCACGCTCATCACCTCCTTCTAATGAAGAGAAAGAGACTAGGAAAGATGGCAAATGAATAAAATGAAATATGGCTGATGCAAAAGGCAACAAAGAATAACAAGTATACATGCACACTTTCCAGACAGATATCTACTGGTTCAATCTCATACAGCACAATTTCCATCACCAACATTTGGAGACTGCTAAGGAAGTCTTTATCAATGTGCATTATGTATGTGCTGCCACAAGATACCCATAAATATCTGATTTCATCCAGATTTGGGTTTTCTAGTTATTCTGTTAACTTAATACTTCCAATCGCTTTCACGGCATGGAATTTCTCATCGCTGCCCGGTGCCTGGATGTTTGAGATAGTTATTCAACATGGTCTATGCCAGAGTTAATGTATTATAAAAATGTAAAGTTAATCCAGACATTTAAAAACTTGGCAGAAATGATTAAATCTACAGTGAATTTTGTATTGCATTTTAAATCAATCCAGACATTAATCCAGCCACTGACAGATCTTCTGACCCGTGTACTTTATCTTGTTTGCACTGCTCCCTTTTATTGGTTAAAGAGCCTTTTTCACGATTCTGTCACGAAAAATGAAAGTTTGCAAAAACAATTTGCCTTTAAAAAAAAATTAAATAGTTACCTCTTCTGCTGCCCACATTGGAGAAAGCCGCTCTGTTCCTGTATGTAGGTAGATGTGGGTGGGAGAAACCAGTGAATGCTGAGGGGTACACAGGAGATCAAAACTCCTGGAAGTAACATTTCATAGCAGACATCGACATTGGAATGAGTTCAGGTTTGGTTGGAACCTAAATAATTATGGGTCCTGCTGCCCAGGGCACTCTGATGATGAGGAATTGTTCTCTGAAGTGGGAACAAGCTTAGTTTCAGGCCAAATTTGAGTTTATCTGCAACCAGGAGAAAGTTGTCAGTTCTGACCCAATCAGCTGCGGCCGGGGTGTTCCAGTCAATGCCACTGACCAAATATGGCCATGTGGCCATTTAAGGTAAATTATGCCACCGTGGGGGGAATTTCTCAAAACTGGAGCAGACAACATCTGGAGTAGATTTGCAATGTAGCCAATCGGCTTCTCCCTCTCATTTTCAAATCTTACCTGAGCAAACTGAAGAGAGATGCTGATTGGTTGCCATGGGCAACTGCTCCAGAATCTGTTTGCTCCAGTTTTGTTAAATTTTCCCCCCATGTGTTTATGTGCTTATGTGCAGCTGAAGATAGGGAAATGCCCTGGCTGCAGCTGATTGGCTTCCTTCTCAAGTTCCAACCAAACCCAAGCTCATCCCTACTTCAGAGAATAATGCTTCAACATCAGAGTGACCTTGACAGCAAGAGTCATAAGTATTTACATTTTTCTATTTTTCTACTGTTTTGGTAACTTCAATTTTCACAAAAAAAGGTCACTTTAAGATAGGTAATATGAGGAACAGTAGGCTTAATCAATCAAAATGGATTGGGTGTAGAAGTATTTGTGCTGCCCATGGCAACCAGTCAGATTCTGGCTCTATTCTTTTAATTCCAGCTAACAACACTTCACTTTCACTTATCTATTTTTTTTTTTTGTGCTGCCTTTCAAAGCCACTTAAACCTGCAGACCTACCCATGGCATGTTTCTTAATCCTCCTGTCCCATCGCACTCCTGACCGGACTAAAACCCAAATCCAACTGGGTGGGTGCGGTGGTGACAACTGATGATTCCGTGAAATGTAGATAGATGAAAGTAGTCACTAGCACTCCATGATATTAAAGTCAATGCTGTTTATTGACTGAGATAACACACATCTCCTTAGCGACGTTTTGAGACCATGCGATCCCGTCCTCAGGCAAACAGAGAGGACGGACCGCATGGTCTCGAAACGTCGCTAAGGAGATGTGTGTTATCTCAGTCAATAAACAGCATTAACTTCAATATCATGGAATGCGAGTGACTACTTTCATCTATCTACCCATGGCATGTGTCCACTAGGGGCGCTGTTCTGCTGAAATCAATTACTGAGTAACATTGAGGAAGTCTTTGCGCACCCTTTATTACACAGTGCATTACATGAATTACATATGGCAATAATGAGTGCTATTAATTAGGTGATAAAAAAAGTACTATAAAGTAAAAAGAACTCTGTATAAAGGGTACTTATTAGAATGCAACAAAATTACTCCCAAGCTCACCCGCTTGAATTTGTGGCTATTTACTAAGGAAGTACCATAATATTTCAGGTATCCAATCGTTTAAAGGAAAATATATAATGATATTCCTTAAACCTGTTTGTGTCCTTGAACTGAACACAAGACTGCCGAGCCAGTGTAGTTAATCCATCTTCCTCAAGGAAAAAATGAAAGTAATACAGGATACCTTCAGTGTGTATACTCAGTATTTTTACTGCCATAAGTAAACGTGATGGTACAGCAATGGTGAAGTAGTGTGTGCTGTACAACGCCACTGCTGTGCGGTACTTCTTTGACTTGTAAGCTGTGCTTGAACCCTTTTTATGTCATATATAAGGGTTATTCAGAAAAGGGTGAAGAGTTTGGAGAAGGCAGAAGAAATGAACAATCTAGGCCAAAATAGCTGATTTGGACAAATTCTCCCATTCAGCTCACTTTCCAGTTCAGCTATGTTGTCCTAGATTGTTCACTACCTGAGAGTGTTCACACAGATTGCGTTTTGGTGCAGTCAATCCAATGCGCTAGGTTTCATAAAAAGCACATTTACAATCCATACTTAATAGGACACAAGTGGCCAGTCAACATTTGTCTGCACCCCATCCGTTGTATGTTTTCTGCACAAGTATCATCCATTTAGTACAAGCGCCTTCGGAAGTCTTTTCTCAAAGCCAGCATGCTTTAAATACAAAAAAAAAAGGTGTAATAAACGGCATTTAAATAGACTAATAGGTGAAGAAGTTCTAGTACAATCCTGTCCCCATGCCTTGGTTCATTGGGTTCTTTTTTATCATGTCATATGTTCATATTCTGTGCTTCTCCGCAAATGTGTAGATTGTAAGTATTGTAAATTGTGAATTTGTTCTGCTTTTTAACAGTTATCAGTTACATGGATACGTTGTCCCATTACACACGACTTGTTACTAGAAGGCGAGAATGGATACAAGTTATCTTTTATGACCATAGCATAGAATGCTGTCATATCGGTAGAGGACTGCACACTAAAACAAGGCACAAATCACAAAAATCATGTTTTTTTTTAAGTTTACACCTATCAATTATGTCCCAGTCTTCTGTTTCCAAATTAATATATGTGGAAAATATTTGTGGTGTAAAAGAAATTATGCAGTTTTCTTAATTATTTGATCAAACAACAAGATATAAAAACACATACATAGATAGATAGATAGATAGATAGATAGATAGATAGATAGATAGATAATAACGAGATAGATAGATAGCTAGATAGATAGATAATAGCGAGATAGATGGATAGATAGATCGATCGATAGATAGATAGATAGATAGATAGATAGATAGATAGATAGATAAATAGATAGATAATAGAGAGAGCGAGAGAGAGAGAGAGAGAGAGAGAGAGAGAGAGAGAGAGAGAGAGAGAGAGAGAGATGTGTGTCACTTTAATGTAGGCTGTGGGCCACACACTGGTATTATTTGTCTTATCTGGGCAGAGAAACCCATTTTCCAATACATAACAATTCCTTAGATACATATTCATGGCACGTTTAATGAAGTGGGTCATTTATTATTGTATTCCACGTGAATCTGTGTGTTAAAAAAAAAACACAATAACGGGAAACATAAGTGTCATCCATACAAATCTAAATGGAATCAAGAAAACACATGTTTTACTGAAGATAATAAACATATACAGACAAGAAAAAACAAAGTGCTGAAATAAAAAACAAAATTCAAACAGAATGTAAAAGAAATACTGTTCTTAAAATACTTTTATGAGATCTCTTACGAGATCATATTATTTAGAGTTCCTTATCTTCAGTGGCTGACTTTACCATTTAGCCACCTCGAACATATTTTTTTTTTTCATTAACAAAAAGTGCATTATATACTTTATGGGGGTTTTTTTTTTTTTTTGCAAAAGTCTTTTTTTCTCAACGCTTCTCAAAACTGAAATACGTTTATATAAATTAATAGCCTTTAAGATGCCAATATATCAGTGTAGTTATAGATTAAAAAGAATTTACATACCCTATAGTAAATTTAGCATAAAAAAAGTTTTGTATTGCAATATAGGTTCTAGTCTGGATTGGATCCCCTGCAAGTAGTAGCATTGATCGATTGCATTAAGAGGCGGTGGCATTGCTTGAATACCACTCTATGCTCAAATATATACTTTTAATTAGTAATAAATACCAAGGACTGTGTAACCAAATAAAAAGTAACTGATTGATGAGGGGGAGGGGGGTAAAGATGCTATGCAATGAGCAGACTTTAACTATCTGGACACTATAGGGTCAGGATGGCTGCAAAGTAGCAGATGTGGAAGGGAGGGACACGTGATCCCCCTACCTTTATCCCCATTTGCCTTTTTTTTTTTAACACAAAAGACAGTTACTTTACATTGAAACATTCACAGTGGAGTAACCTCTGGTCAGAGTGACTCACTATTTATTTACAAGAGCCTTCAAACGAGTTGATTTAGTGAATCCTTTGCTAGGACTGCCAATTCCTGAACAGTCTGGATGTAGATTCAGGGACTGTTTGTTCCCTCCAGAGGTGATCAGCTGGGCAAAAGGGGGGAAAAATGTCAGCCATCAGCTGTATGTAACTTGCTTGTAGGTGTGTAAAAGCGTATTGACACAGAAGTCTGTTCCTTCATCGCCTTCAGAGTTTAGAAAAATATATATACATCTCACAAAATAAAAAGCCTTATTTCGCCCTGGCTACAGGTGCAGTGCTGATGGTGGAAGGACAAGATGATCAGAGAGGATTCTCAGGCTGTCGCTTCCATGTCACGTCTATTGTCCCATCACTGGCCCAAGCTGGTTGGGCTCCGCGGCTCTCTAAGATGAGCTGTCATTGTCAGACTGTTGATGGAGCAATGAGCTGTTTGACTTGTGTTTTTTCAGGAGCTGGGTGATCTTCTCGTCGTCTGAGTTGGGATCTAGGGGCTTGTTATAGTCGTCATCTTCGTCCTCGTTTTCTGAAGCTCCTTTCAGCCTCTCGGTCTCAGTGTCCTGTTTCTTCTTGGCAGTGGCCATCTCTGCTGCGTGCTTCTTGCGCCACTTGGTCCTCCTGTTCTGGAACCATACCTGTAAGGGACACCAAACAGAATGGGTATTATACAGTACTAGCTCAGTCATTTATTAAACAGGGGGCACCAAACAGAATGGGTATTATACAGTACTAGCCCAGTATTTTATTAAACAGGGGACACCAAGCACAATGGGTATGATAGAGTACCAAGCCAGTCATTTTAAAAAAAGAGGGTGCACCAAACAGAATGGGTATTATACAGTATATGCCAGTCATTTATTAAACAGGGTGTTCCTAACAGAATGAGTATGATACCGTACTAGCCCAGTATTTTATTAAACAGAGGGCACCAAACAGAATGGCTACTATGCAGTACTATAGTGTCAGTCATTTATAAAAACAGGGGGCATCAAACAAAATGGGTATTATGCAGTACTAGCTCAGTCATTATGGGTATTATGCAGTACTAGCTCAGGGGGCACCAAACAGAATGGGTATTATACAGTATAGCCCTGTATTTTATTAAACAGGGCGCATGGTGTGATCCCAAATTTCTGTAGAAAAAATACCTTATGGGGAATTTATCAAAACTGGAGCAGACAGCAGCTGTGCATTGCAACCAATCAGCATCCACCTTTCATTTTCAAAATTTAACTGAACAACCTGAAGAGAGAAGATGATTGGTTGCCATAGGCAACTGCTTCAGATTTCTCAGCTCCAGTATTGATAAATACCCCCCCCCCCCTTGTTTTATCTCCATGGAGCACAAAGGATGAAGCCTGATCGGTCATTAGTTAGTGATCGCATGTTCCAAGACTGTTCTGCAACTTTTATCTATTCACTGCATTAGGCTCAATTCACAAAAATGTTTTTAGGAGGATAAGTGTTATTTACTTAAGCCATGCAGCTATTTTTTATTTTAAATCTCATTGGACTCAGCTGAAAATAAACTAACATTTTTTTAATGATGATCCTCATGTTAGCTTTGTGAACTGAGCCAATTAATCTGATTGGTTATTGTAAGCAAGTTTGCTGGATAAACGTTATTTTCTCCAGTTTTATAAATACGCCCCATGCAGCCGTGATTTAATTTTAAATACCTGTGAACTGTATAGGCCTTTTTTAAGCAGACAAGTGAATGTGCAGATCCAAAACTTTCGCTTGAAGAAAAAACCTTGAAGGCTGATGAACTAAAAATAATAGTGAAGTATTTGCATTTATCGGAGATCCTAGTTCCTGCAGTGGAGGCTTATTTACTATAGTAGTTAAGAATCTTCACTCAAATTGAGTGAAGGTTAACTTCAATTATCCAAACGTGAAAAGCAAATTCCAGTTCTTGTTCTTTTAATCTGTTTAATCTGTGCATGGTTTGGTGTTCCATTTGAACAATGCATCGAGTGAAGAATCTCACCTAGTAAGAATAAATCAGCCTCAATATGTAGGATTTTATTTTCAATAGAGGGACTATTATAAACCTAGGTGGCTGATTGAAAGTGCATTCTATAGGAAATACTAAGAAGTGACGCCATCTACAGAGCCTTCCAAGTGAGGACACCTGAAAGGAGGACAGCCGTCCAGCTCTTACATGACACCCCAGCCAGATCAAGAAGGCCAAAAGTCTTTCCCTGCACTAAGATCCAATTATGTATGTATATTAAACGAATATTTTGTTATCTCTAATCATAAACCTATATATTAAGCTGTTATTACCTGCGCAAGATATTATTATATCTAGATATCTAAAATGAGGTGTTATTTCTAATATATTACTGCATGTCATCAAACAGACCCTAGCAATTTATTTCCTCGATAAGGATGGTGATTTACTGTAGAATTCGTTCCCTATGCCAGCGAACTTTTTGTGAGTTCGAACACCTAATCATGCACAGGGGAATTTATAGAAAATGGAACTTTTCCTGAACTGCATTAAACGTTTGCAGCTAACACAGTTCGCAAACTGAAATCCCTCTCCAAAGCGTTATTCTGAAGAATACCAATAAATACAACCCCCTTCACCCTTCATATATATATTCCATGTGTGTCAGATTTTCACTCTAGCAGGTGTGTGTACAACTAGCTGCTGGGAGCCTGGGAATTGAGGGGGGAGAATAGAACCCTGCCTGGGATCACTGAATAGGTTGTAGTGTATTCACTATCAGACATTTACCATGACAAATGAGCGCCTCCAGATAACACAGTGACACGGCGCAAGACAAGTCTTACAATAGCAACAGGTGATCCAGCTACAATTGTGCCACCAGTAAAATTAAAACTCCTCTTTTCCTCCTTCAACTTTTCCCTGCTTGGTACAATAGCTGCAACAAGCTTGGCGCTTCAGCGAAGTCACCGGGGTGATGGGATGGGACCTCCTGGGGATGCAGCACCAAGTGGCTCCCTTTTTTAGACATTTCCTATATCCTCATCATCTAACATTCAGGAGTATTTAAAAAAAAAAAAAAAGCATGTTAATAAAATAATGGTGTCAACACTGGCTCAGGGGACTCTCACTTCAAAAATAAAATGAGATTGGAAGAATCTCTAATTACACTTTGATCTATTTTATTTATTTATTTATTTATTTAACAAACACATGTTGGTTGTCAGAAAGTACAAACACTGCTTTAGTTATGTTTACGTATATTTGTCTTATAAATTATAGATAGATAGATAGATAGATAGATAGATAGATAGATAGATAGATAGATAGATAGATAGATAGATAGAAACAGTAGTAATAATATATAAAAATCAGCATCCCCTTATTATGACAAGGATCCCCTAATGCAACTCCATTAAATGCTACATTTTCTTCTGTTCATTATTTATTTTTATAACTACAAAAAAAAAATAAGATAACGTATTTTTGTAGATAAGAATAACAGAAAAAAAATAGAAAAAAATACCTATATGGATCCAGTATAACAAAGTTGTATATGTACTCTGTAACAATCAAGGAAAGGCTATATACAGAGTTTGATTAAGCACTCACCTTGACCTGGCTCTCGGTCATGCCCAGGGAATATGCCAGCCTGGCTCTCTCTGGTCCAGCTAAATATTTCGTCTGCTCGAAAGTCTTTTCCAGGGCGAAAATCTGCTGCCCGGAAAACGTGGGCCTCGTGTGTTTTCTCTTTCCATCCTTATCCAGCAGCACTGAGCCCTGATCTGAAAGGATAACACATAGGGCATGTAATTTCATGGCATGTGCCCTCATCTGTACCCTTCAATTGGGCGTATTGTGAGGAGGGAAGACCTGTAACAATCAGGTACCGTAATTGAATAACAACTTCATATTGTTGTATCACAATCTATATTTTGTGATAATTGAAAACATGTTGCCTTAGTTAATTCCATTCTAAAAATGGCAACGATGATA